CACTTTCAAGAAGCTCAGTGAGCTCGAAACAGTTACCTTTGCGGATGTCCTAGAGAAATTCCCCAGTGCCCGTCCTCCAGTGGAAACTTTATGCGAAATCATCGGAGAGATCAAACCAAGACACTATAGTATTGCGAGCGCACAAAGTGCCGTCGGAGATAGAGTTGACCTCTTGGTCGTGACTGTGGATTGGGTGACACCATCCGGTAAGCTCGTATTCAATAGGGTGCAGGGGCCAAATACTAAATGATCAATTAGGTTCCCCAAGATATGGTCAATGCACTCGTTATTTGGCAGGGCTCAAGACTGGCCAAAAAGTTACGGTTTCAATCAAACCGAGTGTCATGAAACTACCACCCAGCAATATGCAGCCCATCATCATGGCAGGTTTAGGAACTGGGTAAGTTTGAGAACTTTTCTTTTGAACCCCATTTATTCACGTATACGACAGCGCGGCACCATTCCGAGCGTTCATGCAACACCGTGCTTTGTTAGCATCCAAAAACATCCCCGTGGGACCAATGCTCTATTACTTTGGATCTCGACATCGTTCAGAAGAATACCTCTATGGTGAGGAGATTGAGGCATTCCTCCAAACTGGTGTCATCACCCACGCTGGTCTCGCCTTCTCGCGTGATGAGAAGCGCAAGGTCTACATTCAACACAAGATGCTTCAGGATGGGAAAATGCTAGCCGATATGCTCGGTGAGAAGAAGAACCAAAAGGGTGTATTCTACCTATGCGGGCCGACATGGCCGGTACCTGACGTCTTTGAGGCCATCGTTGGTGCTTTGGGCGAGTACGAGGGTATGGAGAGGTCAGTAGCAGAACAATATATAGAAGATCTCAAAGAGGAAGAAAGATATGTATTAGAAGTCTACTAGAGCCCTCCCTCGATTCGCTTTTCTCTTCTCTGTATGGGGTTTTGGGTTTTTACTGTTCTTTTATTCATTGCTCTCGATGGAATACAATGCTTTGCAAAGAAAACTATGAACTTCATTCGATGAGAGGGGACAAAAGGCATAAGTTGATATATAAAAACCTGCAAACCAGCTAGTGCGAGAGATGCCAAAGTCCATTGAGTGAGTATCGTACAACCATCAGCCCAGAATTATGAACCGATGTGCTGTAGTGAATGAGTATAAAAATATGATGCCCTTCTTTCAGTCAGTCAGTCTTCAGGGGTATACTCGATAGCGTAAAAGCTACAGATCAGTATACCCTCGCCCCTCGGCTATATCCTATCGCAAAACGTTTTGTTTGCTTCAAATTCTTCGTTCCTATCATGAGGCCTCGGTGCTCGTCGGGTCTCCATTATTAGTTTGCTTCGTCGTGCCTTTCAAAGATGCGGATAATTCTCCATCGATATTTGAATCTCCTAGACGTTCGGTTTTTGCTGCTACGGCTGCCAAAGTACTTGCTTCAGACTTTTTATCCGCGTTAGAGCTGAGAGAAGTCTTTTTACTCCTCTTTTTCTCGGGCGAGTCGGATTTCTTGGGAGATAGGGCACCGGCGGCTGTCCCAAATTCGAGAGAACTACTAGGGCCACCACTTGCAAATATATTCTGCACACCAATGCTCACTGGTGCGGCCAATAGCCCAGATCCACTATTACCAGTCTTTGACGTAGCGGGCTTCTGAACGGGTGAAAACCCTCCACCGGGTGTCGGAGTAAAGTTGATATAATCTGCCATGTTGAACGAGAGACCTGCCGTCGGCGTTGACGGGCCCAGGGCACCTAACCCTAACGCGAAGCCAGTCCCAAATCCAGCCGTCGCCGACCCGAAATTCGTCGATGGATTTCCATGCAGGGATTCACCGGGTGTAAAGGGTGGTTGAAGCATGCTCGTTGAAGGCGTGCCAGAGTTACCATTACCACTAGGGTATATGCCCAGGGCAGCAAGAGTTTGGGGAACCATAAATCGGTCTTCGCTCGTTTTGCTGGTACTGGAACTCTTTTTCGATGGAGACGGTGGTGCGGGAAGTAAAGATGATGGGGTGATATTGGAGGTTACGCTTGTGGGGAAGAAAGGTTCGTTCAGGCCCTTTGAGCTCTTCGTCGATCCTGAATTGGATGCTGATATTGAACTAGATGATTCTTGGAACAGGACTCTGGGTTCGATGGTGGGAACGGGTCCGTGGCTTCCTGCCCTGTTTGTTGGCAGAGGCGCCCGTCGAGTGGTGTTTCTTGCAGGTGAAGGAGAAGTTGCTAAGAGTAGTAGTAATTCCGCAGAATCTCTTTCTCTTTGTGTCGCAGAGAGTGCAGGGGACCCGGGGACAGTATCCATACCACTGCCATTCCCATCGGTTGTGGACGCGTCTCCATTGACACTCAGGCTAGCATCTGCCATTGCTGCATCTACAGAAGAGACTGAACTTGGTGCTCGTCGGAGGCTCTTGGTCCTACGATCATCGCCTGCGACAGAAGAAGTGTCGTCTTCATGGATCGACGATCGATCTGAGCGGGATTTCACGGGACTCTTCGGGCTCCCCTTGGCTACTAGTAGCGATGCCAAGGTCTTGGCGGCTAGCTGTTCCTTATCCGCCATGGGTAGAGATGTGCGAGGTGCTTTCTTTGATGACGCCTTTTTCTTGGGACTGTGGCTTGACGCCGAAGCCTTGGTATGAGAATTAGAGTTGGAATGCGGTTTCCTTTTTGATTCGTGATGATCGTTCGCGTCTGTGCTGATAATGTGAGGTATGCTAAACCCATTGGCAGAGGGCGCCATAGCGCGGGCCGTGCCGGAAGGACCTAGTTTTTGTCGCTTAGCAGGACGCGTTTCGATGTCGGTAGTGGTATCGAGGATAGAAGAAAAGAGGGTCTGGCTTGGAGCCGGTGGAGGTGGCATGCGTTGCGTGTCCGTTATGCTCTTGTCAAAGGACAAAGGATCCAGAAGGAGCACGGAAGGAGACTGTTTGGGCGTCAAGGATTCTTCATCAAGGCGTTTCTCGAGCGCAGAAAAGGGGACGTTCGACAACTTGTTCTGCGTCTTGTAAGACGCGTAGCTCAAGCGGAGGCGAAGCTGGGCGGCAAGCTGAATGGACGGGATCGTCAATAGTGAGAAATTGTGAGTACACATTCCCAAAAAGCGCAAAATGGCGAAACAGCGGGGAAATGCGCGTGCCATCTTCCCGACCGGATAAGACGCAGTCGATTAGCGAGGAATACGCGGGTTGGAGAGTGTTTTGGTAAAAGATGAAGAGGGCGAGAAGAGAACGACGCGCATTCGTTTCATTGTGAGGAAAGAGTAAAACAGACACGTACTTGAGAGATCTTTGCTTGTGCAGCGAGCTGGCGCAGAGCGGCCTCTTTGTCGATGGGTGGGTGTTGCGGTTGGTGTGGATGGAGCCCAATCGTCGGTGATACGTGCGTGTCTGGTGTTTGCGACGACGCCATGAGTGGTTGGGCGTCGTGTAAGGTGACGCTGAGGAGGCAGAGTGTAACAAGTGGACACTGTAAGAGGTCACGGTGCCACCTAAGAGCGAGACCCCAGAGACTACTCCTCAACCTATCGCTCGCCTCTTGCCTATTTGGGCACCGTCGGCCATCAGAAATCACAAAGACCCCTGTACTGGATGACGAAATGAACGGGCTGGAGAACGCCTCGCTCGCGTTGGGATCACTCGCCAGTTTACTGCAGCAGCGACGCGTCTATCAGGCTAGGGTCTAGATCACAAGTACGATAATAGTAGCTATCTACAGTACACGAGCTGGTGGAAAGGCAATATCACATGATGGCCAGTGAATGACCGTGGACCACGGACGGATATCCGGAAAGTCTACCCCATTAGACAACTTTCCACCAGGAAGCAGTCCTTTTACA